GAGCTGTGAAGTATTCTAACGAAGGAAATTGTATTAAACGCGGTATCGGGTTCGGCTTATGCGTTTAGGATGATATCTGGAGTGCGTATGGACGGATAAATGATTGCGTGCCAGGAATGTACGTATGAACCGTTTATGACCGAGTCAAGTATAAGTAATGAACGGAAGTCTAGGAACGCGTTCGAGTGTCTGAAGTACATGGCCTATCGAGGGCAAGGTCGCGTGGGAAATGAGTGATCAACGAAAAGAGCTTACGTATGAAAGAATGTAGTGTTGGGACTTAAATAAGGGTGCAATTGCGTGGGCGAGTCAAAATACGGGCGGTAGCGTCAGAGCGAGGAGGAAACCGAGTATTTGACACTTAGAGTCTAAGAATTTAGGAAAGAATAGTATAATACTTTAGTTTAAATATATCTATTTCCTTTTGAAGGTAGTCGTTATTTACTAATCAAACAGATATCTGTTTGCAGAGGATTTATCTAGCATTAATTCTAGAATATCGTATTCTGTAGACTTTTCTTAAGAAGGAACCGTTCAAGGGAAACGTCAGTATAGTCTTCAATGTCGACAAGGCAGGAAAACGTAATCTGCAACGCGAAAGCTGTGTTTTCCCGCTCTGTACACATTGCTCCCACTCTAGCTACATCAAGGCCGTAGTCACGACTTCTCATCACAAAAAGCGTCATCCAGTGGATATCATTCTTCATATTCGTAACACATGTCCTCTCGTTCCTTTTTAAATCAATTGCATAATTTTAAAAATTTCTCACAGTCATATGTAATTTCAAACAGTTTCGTTACTTAAAGCAATCGACCTTTTAATACAAAGTTGGTTAATCGCAATTGGTTATGACTTTACAGGAGATTTAGAATGGTGATAAAAATGCTTTTAGGAACATGATAATGCTTGTGTGCTACTAAGTGACCGAATCTGAAGATGATGCAATAGGTAGTGTTTGGGTATTATGTTAGTATATGCATGGGAAGTAATCGTTGAGCGGTGAAGACTATTTACGGATTTTATTTCGTTCGTTACTCTACACGTAATATCCGTCTGGCTAAACGGTCTCGGCGATAGTTTGTGTGTTATATATAGGCTTTTTTCCTGAGGCATTTGGCTCAGGTAATGGTCATTTGGTATGCAGCTGATTCATCGCTGGTTTTTGTTGCTACATGTGCAAGTATATGTACTTAGCATTACTCTGATATTGTCAAAGAACTGTATGACGTAATAGCAAAAATGAACGTATTTTATTTAGCACTGGTAGGAGTCAGCACATTACGGTGTGAACATTAATCGATTGTTCGTATTACTAACCAAATTGAGAATTCATGAGATCAATAAAAGCCGACCGATTAATGAACGTAAAGGTATTTGGTGAAACAACTTTAACCGATTCCGCAGTTCTGGAAGAGGTTATGTCGCAAATGAATATTTCAAGGTTCTGAATTTGAGAATTTTCCTTAATTCGGATGTGTTAAAATCTGTATGTTCTGGTCGTGGCTTTGAAGTTAGGAGAAATATTACAGGAATGATTTGTTTGTATCTGATAACGGTGTCCTTGGTAGATGGAATTTTATCTATCGTGTGATCCAGGGATATAATCGAGTATGATTGAAGCTAGGTCAGTGTAACTGATGTTTCTGGTGAATGCTTAAACGATCAGGAATTTGGCCAGGTCGCTTGCATAGCCTCATGATGAACAAATTATTATATATATACAAGAATACATGAAATAATTAACTATATAGGCGTCAAATGGAACCCACGCGTATCGAAATCGATTACGCGTAGCAATGAGTCTACACAAACAAGCAATTGCTACGTGGCGGTGAATCGTCGTATAAATTAATGACCCACATTTTCTCGATCGACTTGAATTACATACAGCTTCGACAATCCTGTTTCTTGATTTCTTCTTTAGAAGGGCCTAAACAATGCAATGCCGCACGGCAAATTTGTGTGGCATAATAAGCCTTCTGTAATAATGCAAGAATATTGCGTATGAAGTGTGCCAGGTGACTTATTCTTTTGACTCCTTGGCCAACAGCAATTATTTACGGACGTGTATTATTGTGTCTATAAATGTTGTAGTACCGCTGGATAATAAACTTGCGTTTGGCTGGAGCGTATTATCTGGAATGCGTGCGGAAGTACGAATGACCGTGCGCAAGGATTGAGTGGACGTGATGTTTATGGAAGTATCGGTTGCAAGTGAAGTGTGTTTAGGAATGCGCCTAAGTGTTTGGGCTACGTGACCCGCTGAGGGCAAGGCTGTATGGAGTGCGTGAGGAATGTGGGATTGGGAATGAGGACTTGGGTATGGAAAAGGATAGAGTACATGATCTTGAATAAAGGTGCATGGGAGTGAAGCGGTCAGTTCTTGGGAAGAGTGATTGGAAGAGAGTTTTTGAGAGGAGCCTTAGGAGTGATCAGAACAGAGTTGTGTAGAGAGCGGTAATTAGTTGTTAGTTATTCAATTGTATTTTAGTAGTGAGCCATTAGTTGTAACCGGCTGAGATGTCATTGTGTTGTTGTCTTAAGTTTATTTGATATATAAATTCGTATGCACAATTGTCCTCACACATTGTTAATACATTATTCTTATTACTAATATATAGTTTTATTTACCACCACCCATGTCTCTACAATATCTATGAACTCAGAAATTCTCACGTATTCCTTAAGATCAGAGTGATTGTACTTTTTTTTGGTTTCCGTGTAACCCAGTTAAGCAAGATGCTGGTCGTTTTAAGGGGAACACATATTTCTCGGAGATTGTAGGTAACGATGCAGCTTCAATTGCAGATTTCTATTCGTGCAAGTAAGCGCTACAACGATTATTGAATGTATATTGCAGACGACGATTCGTGTTATACAGTATCACGCTGTCCGAGAGAAGGAATGTGTGGCCATCAAGGATGGAATGCGTTCAGTTCTCGATATTCTGGCGGATACTTCAGTAAGGCTGCCTATCAGGTGCGTGACTCAGATGCGGGTATATCAATGGCAGGTCGGGAACGCCTATATGTAGGAAGTTGAGGAGAAAGTTCAAACCTCCTCGAATTCCTTTGATAGCAAGTGCAAGGCGACTGCCACAATTATAAAGGGAATTACTACAATTTAAATTGTTTTGACCAGTACAGTTGTCATGGTGGTCATACCTTGATTCTTGAAAAACGAAACGATTGATCTCTTGTCTCACTTCCCATAGAAGTACCAGTTTATTTTTTACATATTTAGAAGGAGTTATTTTGATGATTAATTGCATACATTTCATGCAGTTCGATAAACATTTTAATTACCGGTATAGTCATACGGAAGGAAAACTCATGAGGTACGTAGCAAAATCGCAGAGCTCTTGATTGGACTTAGATAATAAAATAAAGCATGTTATAGATTGTAGGCCAAACGCTCCAGAATAATGGAAAAGAAAAATAGCGGAATTGAAATACAATACAAGTAAATTCCAATTTTATATGTACACGATAAATTTCAAATTCCATAAGGAATTTTAATATGCTGTATATTATTTGCAATTCTACGACACATATTCGACATGTCAGATTCGTATGGAATTCCATGGTTTGAAAGAACGGGCGAAGTTGTTGCGAAAATCGAAGTACACTATCATTGAAATATTTGAATAACATTCTACTCTGAAAGTGTATGCTGTATTTATATGTATAAAAATCATGTATACGTATAAAAATTAGTTGAGGTTACGTACCAAGAAATTTCTATTTAATTCGAAATTCTTCTTTGGTAGCTATTATTGGACAAAGTCAGAGTGACAGCGTCACTAGTATATAATTATGCAGCTTCTCAATTACAACTATACAATTTCTCAATTGACCGATTATTGATTTAATGTTTGGACAAATTACTGTCGATATAAATATTGCTCAGTATTTCAAAACCATAAGATTCGGTACATGAATTTTTAAATTTGTTTAAATTTTGCAGCACTTGCAAATATACAATAGTGGATATTGATTGGTATTTCATGAACTAAAATACGAATTTCTTAATATGGATATTTAAGTAAGGTATTTTCTTCTTTTAAACTAGGAAGGTATAACATGACTTTGGGCAAAGCCAGTAAAATAAACTATATCCGTAAAAGTTTGAGGAAGTGTCGTGGTGAGCCCTTATTTCGCAGGTTAAGTACATTTGCTTTATGTTAGTGAAATCTACTGTTTGAGTATTTTATCATCATGTTATTTTTTTCATTCCTTTCGCCACAACCTTCCTTATCCGCTGCGGAAATTATATAATCGAAATGCATTGTTCTATCTGCCTATCGTGACTTGCAACAAATTTTCGATGAACGAATGTCGTTGAATGTGTGATACGCGCGTATTTCCAGAATTACGTGCCCAATCTCATTTTTCAAAGATATTTCGCAACAAACAATGAAGATATAATTCCATTAATTTTAAATATCTGATTCCGCGAAGATCCATCTCAAGGAAATGGATATATAACATAAAGTTCGCAGCAACGCAGCACCAAACACTAACAAAGGAAATATGTAAAGAAAAAGACATAAATTCTGAAACGAATGAAACACTTTCGATCGCAACCGTAAATTGACATTATTACCCCTCAAAATAGTGTATTGGATTTACTTACATAAATTACTTGGATTGTCCATTAAAATTTCCATCCCAGCAAGTAAGAAATTCGATCTTCTTCTTTAGTCTTCTTTTCACTTGGAATTCCTTGAGTCCAAATATTCTTAAACAACGCAAATAATATTTTCTTCCTCAATCGTTAGTTAGTAATTCACTCTGGGGCCCGATTTTTAAGAACTGCGTGGTCAGTAACGTCAGTGCAGGTAAAGGTATGGACTCCCAGACGAGATCTACTGGATCGCTTCCTAATTTTTCAGTAGGATCTTACACATCTCTCTGTATGCACTATAACATCTCACATTTCATGTTGTTATTTCTTATATATTGACATATTTCTATTAATTTATATATTTTGATTACAGGAGTACCAATACCTTTCGAAATTACTCCATTGTTAGGAGGATTGATCGGAGTGGTGACAGCATTGCTTTTTGTTACTATTGCTATTCTAGTAGCCATGAAAATTCGAAATGAAAGAAGAGCTCAGAGAACAAGTGATCAGCCACTAAAGAAGAGCACTGCGCCAAGCTCTGAAGACCTGTATGATACTGATGATAGAAATCCGGACGTTGTGCCAATAAATAAAGGTAAAACATTCAATTGTACTAAAATTTACATTTCTCCAACCATTGGAACCCACTTTTATAATATAGAGTAATTTGAATATCCTTCATGTTTGAAGAATTTTCGTTACTATGAAACAGTGCTTGAAGTAATTTAGAAAGAATTAATTTACCCTAACTGAAACACTAAAAAATTGGGATACTATCCCCTTCATAGTAGGAATATTATCAATGAAAGCTTCGCTGTATTTCCGGTAATTTTTGATATTGAAGCACGTTTGTTACCTTAGAATTAGGACAAGTTGATCCTTGTACACAGTGATATTTCTGTGAGATTCCATAATGTAATCAGATACGCTTCGATATTCTACTATTCAAATCTTCTTTCTAAATGGAAGGAGGGTGAGAGTAATAAAGCATTATACAGTTGGAGAATATGTGTCATTGAATTGTTGATTAAGTTCTTGGTTACATGAAGGAATAGAGGGGAAGACTATTATCACTGTATACACACACGATGCCATTTTAAAAATCGCCATAATTTTAAGGAATTTACATTATTCTCTTATAACAGTGACTCAAGTTCAAGCAATAAAGTATCTTAATGGCGATAATGTGTAGTGATAAATATTTCCACAAGAATTTGTGTTCGTTGGAGTACTGAAGTTACCTTGACATAGACCACACCAGAGGAAGTTTTAGTTCAAAGAATAATTTTCCTACGCAAACATGTTTACGATGTCGTACACGCAATCCCACATTATACAAGCTGATGCAACAGAACACTAGCGTGTGTGCCATGTTTTCGTAAATATTTCATAACAAATTCATATTCGGTCTGCAATAAGACGAAAAGGAACATATTCGACACATTCTCACTCCTTCACAGATACGAACAAATTAGTATCAGAAATAAATTGCAACGTTCTCTTCTAAACATTAAAGGATACATAGACCGCAATTAATACTTTGTGTATGAATATACTATCCACAGATTTCGAATCTGTATTATACACTAAGAATTATCTAATACAAGTTCAATACCCTAATGCAGAATGGGAGTAATAAAATGAAATGGAAAATTAAGGCACAATGCTAAGAATATCGACTATGCGTCTTACTGAGCGAAAACTGATTAAGTTTATCGCAGAAATTGAACATCAGTTTCAGCATTCAGTATATACTTGTTTCCTGGAATGCGTACAGAGATGTATGTTATAGAGACAGCCAAGTACTCATTATGAAAGACAGTGTCAAATTTATGAAGACTGTCAGTATAAACTCAATTATCAAGAAAGCTCTATAAGATATAGGCTAAATCCTTAAGAAGTAAATTTATCAATTACTAATAAAAATATTGCTAGTGATTGTTGACAGGCGAGACCACCTAACAACTGAATTCCTACAATCGCGTTCAAAAGTACGATGGCCGATGAACATTACATAACTGAAAGCTTACATTGCAAACAGATCCCCGAATTTGTACACGATAAGTGGCCTATTCCTGAAACATTACTATCTAATGTTATGCAATTCGTTACAACGATATTGAATGCCATTTTAAGATTGCCGCACCTTCCAGTTACATTGAATTGCGGAGAGATTCGGTACGTTAGGTAGACATGGATTATTATCACAGTCACATCGACCCATGTCCCCACCCTTAATCCTGTCCAAAATGTAGGGAATGATCATTTAAAAAGAATTTCATAAAGCAATGGAAGATAAAAATTTGCTAGGCGGTCATTACTACGGATTTAGTAATATTTATAATATAGCTCAGCAAGTACAACTCATGACAATAGGAGTAGTAACCGCAGTCGAGAAGATATAATTTTTGATTCATTAACTGAATCTTCTACAAATAAATAATGGAAAATCTGACAGTACAAATACAAAGCCAAAACCAATTGTGCGAATATGTATGCACACAAAAGATAGATAAATTATATGTAGAAAAATAGTTTTTCGTACCCAAATATTAACCTTCATTTGCTTCCTTACTTACGTTGCTTTATAATAATATTAATAATATATAATTAATTATATCACATTATTATTGGTATAATTAATTTTGGTTCAGAGAACTAGCTTTTTGCTTACTGTGTAGGGATTTAGATATTACACTATGGCTCTGTTCTAATCATGCACCGTCCGCCAACTCTCGTTGAATGGAGTATAGTTGAAGACCAAGGAAATCGTCGAGAACAGAACAAAATGAAAGACATCCATTACAATCACATTTACTCCCAAGGATGGAATACTAGAATGCTCACATATATGACAATCAATTATCCCGCAGGTTGAAAGTGCTAAATATTTGTAGGAATATTGGGCTGGCAACACAATAACAACGGTATAAACATATAATTGATTTATTCAGAATTAAGCCCTAATTCACAATGACTCTCGGCTGACTCTAACACTGACTCTGACCCGCTCAAGGCTATCTCGCAAAAACTGTTTCCTTTTGCGTCCTGACAAACTTATTTAAACCTTGCACTCCGTCTTCCGTCATACTCATGCCCTCTTTCTCAGTGACGCGATCCTCACGTACGCGTTCTCGATGGGTCACGTATCCTAAATACTCAGATGCATTTCTAGGCTTTCATTCTTCACAAGCACTCGACACTACCATAAATATCCTGTTCATACGATTCTTGCGCGGTCACTCGCCCTTCCGCACGCACTCTAGACATCAGTCTAAACGCTTGAGTCAAACCTCCTTCCGCTCGTGTTACTATTTCCTTCGTTAGAGTCCTTCCCTGCTCGCAGTATCACAACATATATGATGTTGAACAGGAATACGAAGGATAATGCAGAACGTCTATTTCCATCTACATATGTTAACATATATCCAGCAGCTCTTTCTCTCCTTTATAAGTATGTTAATAGGTAGCACTCTCATGGTCGCATCAATTTTATGCCTTCATCATTTGTAGCAATATCTTCCGAGCTCCATTCCCAGATACCTGCTTCTGCAACCTTTGTCCTAATTTTCTCCTATTCAATGCGAAAATTCCAATCCACAGTGATGAATAATTTCCCGCTTTCGTTACTGTCCTCTTTCCCGTAGTGAGTCTAGTCCTTTTATCTGTATTACCAATTTGTTACTGTTGTCATGTTTTACTACCATTGATCGGCCTTTAAATGTTTAAATAACAAACATATATTTGACTTGTCTTGTCATAAAGAATCATACATTTTTTCAATTATCCAAATGCTACATTTCTTCGTTATATTCCTTGTACCAAGCGTCGCGTGAGTTGTAATCTCGATATCGCAAACTGGTTCTTAATTACAGATATTGTTGAGAATATCAATATCAACTACAATTCATATTAGGCCCTAGTGTTAGTAATTTCATCGAAACTCATACATTTCACATTATCAGAATTCCTCGGTTGAGAATATTTCGATAACAAATTATTTTAAGACAGATACAATATTATGGAGCACATACGATGAGAATTATTTAATGTTCTCGAGACTAAACAATTATCAGCGTTATGGTTGTAAAACCTAGTAATTGTGTCTTATGCATCTGATGCTATGAAAAATAAGACATAAAAACGTATTGACAAAATTTCGTTGCAGAGCAAAGATAAAGAGCATAAATAAAAGAAATATTATTTAATTCACGTCAGGATTAAGTACAAAGTAAGTTGGTTTGCATGAGTTGAACAATATCTTATGACACGAGACACAGGAGATGGCAATTACTTCCGCCTGTAGTCATTAAAATGAAAATTAAATTCAGACGAATATGTATATAAAATAATATGTAATGATAAACGAAATGTAATACTCAACGTCTGAGTATCATTCATTCGTTTCTGTGTGTGATGCATTTAACTCACAAGAAAATACGACTTCCCTTTGAATAACGAGCCAGAGTAAAAGTTATTAAGCTATTAATTGCTTCTGTATTATACTTGACCAAATGTGTTAACAAATATTCATTTCCTAAAATATAAGAGGAGAGAACAAAGATTTCTTGTCATGGAAAACTGTTTCACTAAAGTGAAATAATTATACATGGTCTTCTAAGGTAATTGTTTGTTAACACAAATTGTCAGTTCTGGTATTAATTAGTCGAGTACCATCATTTAGGAAATGGTCATTATATTTACATAAATAGGTTCGGCATTATATTGAAAATTATATCGGTAGAGAACTAAACGCCTGAAGAATTTGTCTTGAGATGTATGAGATATTGAAGTGTCTACTCTATGCAGGAGAAACAAGTGCTTGTTTCCATCGAAGTTGGTGTCTATCTTCATAATGATGGTCCTCCTCCTTTGGTTTTGTTAATCGGAAGCTTGTATAATAGTAATGGCAAAGACAAACATTTCTCATGAGTAGAGTTGCCCAAATATCCTTGATCCATTGATACCTTTACCCAATATGAACTTCCAACATCCTCAACCTGTACCTGTGTTTCATGAATCGGAATCCATCCGTATTAATGGAAATTTGTGTTATTCAACTGATTGAGGTACAATAGAATTCAGTTTAGGGTCGCGAATTTCGTGCGGGACAATAAAAAGGATGACAGCTTTATGGGACTATTGTTGTCTACAAGTTCTTCCAGCTGCAAAACACGTCTCTTACCCCACCAAATTTATATGATTATAACGACAGGACTTGTATGCGAAAGTATCCACATCATTTTCAAATATATGGATATCCACTCTCGTAGGGAAATAAGAACGTTAGATACACAGTCAATCTTGAGGAATTTACCTCAAACTACTCATAGTAACATGCTACGTCTAGTGTGATAAGATATGTATCATCTAACATTTGAATGTCATGGCCCGATTTCGCTGTTCAATCTGCCACATCAGTTTTTGACCACACATCCATTAAGTCGGGGGGGGGGGGG